AGAACTAAGGATAAGATAATTTGGACGAACGTTTAAAAAATTTGAAATATCAGTTTCCCGAAGCCCTCCGACCAAATATGCTCGCCAAAGAAAAAATAACAAAAAATGGCTCCAGGAGAGAATTTTAGGATTTCCAACTTTGCGAGTCAAAATTTAATCTCAATTTCTTACATGTCGCAAACTTTTTCTGTTCTAAGGAATTTTCCCCTCTTTTTGTTGCTTGTCGAATTCGAAACATCTGACCGAGGACGAATTTTCTGTAATTTCTTCTATCTTCTCAATATGAGATTTTTTTTGATTGGCTCTGCGTCACAAAAGTTTGTTAAGCTGGCAACACCTTGATTCTGCTTCAAATTACATGAGACTTTCTCCGCATGCAGTAAACTCATTTTAAGCGTGGAATAAAATTTAATGACTTCCTTAGAATAGAAAGTTAGCAGTATAAATAAGAAACGATACTTTTCTCTAATTCCTCCTCCTTGGTTTGAAAAAAAACTAGCCACCGTTAAGCTGCCACATAAGCATATAGAAGTTGGCTTTTATTTCAACGAATGGACACGCATGTTGTCGATGATTTACTCTGTTTTTTTTTTTTCGATCAGCTTGGCTTAGTAGCCTACTAATGATTTGATTTGCGTCTTTAGGTCATGCATCTTTAAGTGATATATCAAATAAGGTATGGAAAAAAATTATTAGCTATTCCATCGGAAAAAAACCCTACAAGTAAAAATAAAAAAACAAAATTCAGAGCTACAACTGTCTTCAGTCTAAATACGTTCAAGAAATGGAATTTGTGTAGACAGTGCAGCAACGGGTGAAGTATGTTAATCTGAAGCAGTAATTGGAAAAAAAAAGAATTGTATTATGTTACCGATCTCATCAAAATTACCCATATCAGTCAGTATATTGTTAGCATGACAATTTTTTCTTCGCCTGATAAAAAAGGCATGTGTTTATAACAAAATTATCCGCGGAATCATGACCCGACAACTGGTAATTATTTTTTTCTTTGCCTTACGTGTTTTTCGATTTACTAGGAAACAAAAAGATAACATCAAGTCTGTCCTAGAAACACTGTACATGTAAATAAAAGTAAGTGACAACATTTCAGCATTTGTAAATAAGTCACTTTTAAATGTGTTTTTACGAGTTGAATTTTGTGAATGAAATATCGAAAATTTCGTAAATCGGTGGTCATGTGTGAGGAAAAACTACTGGTATTGAGTTTTTGTTAGAGATTATTCATAGAGGTCGGTGGATTGCGAGTAATTTCAAGTGATGATTTTCAGTTGTATCCGTAAGCAAGTTACCTTGGACTTCGATTAGCGTAAAAGCTTATAGGGCAAGCTGTTCAAATATTACTAGCCATTCCTTGGCTACATTCTCAGTAGGAAAATAAGACAGTGAGAAGCATTCGAAGGTCTGTGGCAAGCTGAATAAAAAAATTACTTCGTAAAAATTATCTTCGCGGTCATCTCCAAACTGCAAAACATTACGCAGATTGAATATTCTGCATCGAGAGGTACGTTACTGATGTCTCAGTGAACCCGTGATATAAAGCAGTTATCAAAATAGAAGGTTTATAGTAAAGCTATTTTAACTTAACGGAACTTGATGCGCTCGTAAACTGAAAGAGTTGATTTCTGGGGATTCCAGTCGACTTCCTGTTTGTGAATGATGTGTTCTCCAAGCACGGTCACACAAGACTACTCCACATTTCCGAAAGCAAAATAGAAGGAAAAAATAATACAGTCGAAACTGTATATCGTAGCACCGTATTAAGCGGCCACCCTATATCAATTAGTGGTTGGTTGTCAAAGTCCCGAAATTTTTTAATTTCCACTATTTTTCATTTCTGTCAAGCGGTCACCTCTATTAAGCGGTCGTGGTCACCTTTGATCAAGCCTCAACCGCCTGTTTTATGCTATTAAGATACATGAAAAAATTACTCAGTTCTGATTGGTTAAGATAAATGCAGTTTTCAGGTAATTCAATGACTATAACTATTTAGCCGGACTTAAAACTTCTTTGCGCCCTTAAGATGTGAAAATATCATTGTATATTATTCTTTGATCGTGCGCGATTGTTTTGACCGAACACACAATGTCCCTGCAGGCTTTGAATAAATAATTCTTGCACTTGACGCGTGCGTTATGCTTCTGCATAATTATGATAAGCTATATATTATTAATACGTAATCACACGATTTTTCCCGTTCAATTTGGAATAAATAAGTACTTGCAAAACTTTTTCAAAGACCACAAATTGCAAACAAAGTTTGTTAGTCTTTGAAAAAAATTTACCCGTGCTTATTTATCCAAAATTGCTCTCGAAATCAAGTGATTACCTATACTAAGGTTGACGTAAAGAACTGGTCATTATTTTTGGAGAGCAAGGGGGAAGGGAAAAATAGTTTGGAAAGATGAACATTTCAATGAGCTCCCTACGCTTACTGCCGTTCTTGTTACAGAGCGAAAAATCAAAATTATTCGTCTACAGTTAGTTGCCTGAATAATATTATTCCACTTCATTTTATAACGAAAAGCAAACTGAAGCTCTGTCTGCTCTTCAATAGCCCGTAACGAAAGACATACTGCGATCTCGAATAAGAGAAGATACATCAACAAGAGGAAAGGGTAATATTTCAAGGAGGGCTCCTTACCTATCTGGACTTTTCCCTCTGTGTGTGAAATACGTGATCAAATGCAGGTTGTTGTTGCGACTGGATTAAGTCCAAGATAGCTGAAGGCCAATTTTACTCGCAGAAAAAGTCAAAAAGAGGGAGAATTGCGTGAAAAATCCATTATCAGAAGCACTTAGTTACATGTGAATTTTTTCAGTGGAGTCTGTTTACTTGGAAATGACACGAGATGAAGCAAAGTCTGATTTGGCAAAATGAATTTGATTGGTGTAATACAATTCAATTGGACTTTGGACGTTGTTTCCAAGGTAAGTAATGGAATATAAGTTGTTTGGCGCGTAAGTTGAGTAAAGGAGCGGAAAGAAGCACGTTTTAACTTAGAAATGGTTCCAATGATGCCAAACTTTCATATCCCGATAAATCTCGACCTTAGTCGATGAGGCTCTCGCGAAGGCCACAAACCATTGCAATTGGGTAATCTCCTATTCGAGCCGTGACGAACAAGGACGAGCAAGGACGAGCAGCATGTTGTTTATTCGTTACTTTACGTAGGACAAAATTTGATTTGTTGCCTTAAATTTTTCTCACATTGTAAATACCTGCCAAGTTTTATATTATTTAATAAGCAGGGAGCGGTTCACAACATCTTCCACTCAAAGCATGTGTCTGTGACAACTGGTCACAGGTAATTAATATTCAAAATCAAAAGGAAAAAGGTTTCAGATTGTCTCTTAACACTCAGTTTTCTCAGTTCTCACCAAATATTGATATAAAAAAATAGAGAAAGCTAGGATGGAGCACTTTACAACGATATAATATTCATAACTTGTTTTTGTCTGCGACAATATGGCCTAGTGTATTGTTGTTAGCTCCCTTTGCTGAAAGACCAGTATGAAACCAAGAGCTTATGCCTCATACTAGATTGTCTTTTTTCTACAATGTAATAAGTTTTTCTTATCTAACACAAACTCGTAATGTTACTCAACGAACACGAGTAGGTGAGACAAAAATCCACTTCATTGTATAAATTATCTCAGAGCTCACCCTAAAACGACGTCTAGTCAACGACGGAGCATTGAATTCGTCCCTTTCTAAAATTTGACAAGACCGAAGATAAATTGATAAGTTCTTCAAAAGGCGACCTAACACGAAAGGTGTGCGTCAGGATAAAACGGTCATATGCAAATAGCTAATATATTTTATTGACTTGATTTCTGAGAAATTACGGCTATTATTTGGTGTAGAAAACACACAGTATACGTCACACTATTGTTTTTACTGTTTTCTTTTTCCCAGATGTGATGTGATGAAATTCTATTGTGGCGTATACTGTGTCTTCTACACCAAGTAAGAGCCGAAAACTTCCTTTTTTTTAGATCACGCCGAACACTGTGTCACGCAAGATCACGCAAGGGGGAGTATTTTCTCATTAAGTCGGTTTATTGGAGATTTGCCTGGATGTGTGTCATAAAATTGCTATAGCGTTTTTCAAAATTTAAATCAACGCAAAATCAATCTGAGTGACAAATTCCATAATGTTAAGGTAATCCCTCTGAAAAGTTATTTTATTCCTGAAAAGTTAACTTGAAAGGATATCATTTTCAGTGAGCCCCCCTTAGCGATTTAGTTTCTCTGCTGGCTAACCTTAGCTTTTTACATCCCCTCATAAAACGTTGCTGCTTTGGAACATAATTATGCAACCATTTCATCAGAAACGATATTCTTTAGTGCTTAAGTTGAGCCAGGACAGTCCATCATCTATCAAAAACTAAAAAGTAAAAGAAAAGTTAATCTGTGAACCTTTCGTATTCTTTAACTTCATATACATGCGAAAGACTAATCTTTTATTTATTTTTTGTCAGTGACGGATTTTTAGAGAAAACGTTGAGATTTTTAGACCTTTTGAGTAGTATAGGAGTCGGCGGCTCAAGATCAGTTTTAGAAAGAACTGGCTCAGAACTGAGCCAACTCTGTATACTACTTTCTATACGATGATGATTATTTTGACATCATGTCATTGCATTTTTGTGGTTTAGTGACTGAAGTCACACGGCAGCACAGAAGCCAAGCTCCGAGCAGGGGATGGTGTGACTAAAAGTCACCTCTCGCTGTGACCGTGGTGGGAACTGAGCTGTAACTCACCCGACCGCGACAGGATGCAAATGACTCACTTTTTGTTTCACGAGCATGATACAACGCAATGAGAGTGCACACACCGCCTGGCGTCAGATAATGGTGTCAGATCGGGCATGATATAGGCGCCACAGAGCGGATATTGCCCTTTTTTTCTTAATTAATCGTATACAACGGAGTGACGTTGATGATAAACATTTAATCATTTAATGGAAAATCATAACTGATCTGTTGTCCTTGCCATTGCGTAGCATTCACAGAATAACCGGAAGTTGGTGATCTAAAACATTGTGGATTTTCCCGAAGAAATAAGTCATAAACAAATAGAGAATAATACATGGGCGCGCGTAGATAAGGAATTTCTCTTCGAGTGTTTAACTCAATAGCTCACTAGTGAGCGCAGCGAAACGAGTCAGATGTCGAGTTGAACACGAGAATTCGCAACTTCCTATGCCTCATGGTCAAACGCCTCTTTGAATTTCTCCCCGTACTCCTGTGCCAGCTGTTTAAAAGCCAAAACTACATTGTCAGTTTCAGGATAGACACTGAGCTCTTCCAGTGAACAACTGCAAAAAAGAAAATATAAACATGTCATTTTCCTGGTAACTTTATCAAACAACAGTAATTGTGAAGTGTCACTGAACTGTGTACATTACTAATGGTAAAAAAGCTACACTTTCTTTCAAATTGCGAGGCTTTGTGGTAAAGGAAAATTAGTTTACATTCCACAATAAGTGCTGAAATTTAAAATCATACTTGGAAATAAATCTGCAGTGTGTAATTCCTGGACTAAAAAAGGGAAAAAACTAAAGCTCTGATGGCTGACATGGCAACGTCAACAAAGCTATGTTTTAGCCACTTTTTAATGTGCAATAGATGTATGCACAAGCTATAATGAGGAAACCTTATATAGATCCGCATTTGTTTAATACCCTGGACAGTGTTCCATCACAATACAGTCACCTTTTTGAACCCAGCGTCTTCTCTAAAAATTAACAAGAATTACCTGATTGACTTGATAGTCAGGTAAAACTCCTTGAGAGCATCGAAGACATCGCCAGCTTGCATTCTGTGAAATCAGTGCACATGGTCAAACTCAAAGCCAATGTTTTACAAGATTCAAAGAGATCTGGGAATGAAAAAACTACCTAGCAAGAGGAGAGTACCTTAAACAAAATTGACAATTTTTTGTAATCTAACAATTTCACGTGAGGAAATTTAAAAATAAGATTAACTAAAAGGAAAAGAACGGTTCAAATGGAGGAAGACTGATGCTTATTTACAGCATGTTTACCCAGCACATTGGGTAAAAAAAACTTTGTTATTCTCTTACCCGTTTTCTTTCGCAATGACTGTGGAGGATCCATGCTTGAAAAAGTCCAAAGCATAAGCATTCAGGGGCAGGGTATTCTTGACTGGGAGAATGGGTACAAGATTCATATCAGTGTAGACACCTTGACGAATGATCTAAACAACACAAAAAAAATATAGAGGGTCATTTAATTACGTTGTAAATCAAAAATTAGAGAGGATCAAAGATTTTTTTTAGCTCTTGAAAAAGCGAACGACAAAATTGGGGCCTGGCGAATCGTTTTAAATACCATAAATGATTCCTTTCAAGGCAGAGTGTTACCAATAAACCTAATACTGCTTTCACATTAATGCTTAAACATGTTTTAAAACTATTTTTTGTTTCAAACACGGTTTTAAATTGTTTTCGTTATAGAAGCTGCTAAAACCAGTGTTCTACTTCAAGTTTGGGACGTTGAAAATACAAGTTAGTGACTACTTGAAACCTAGCTATGGAAAATTCAGCTTTTCATTTCTCTGTATCTAATTTTCATTCAATTAAACCCGGTTCAACTAAACACGTTTTGCTTGTGTGAAAGGGGTATTTTAAAGATTGTGGAGACATTTTGTCCTGATACTGTGCTTAGAAAGAGCCCCAAGAGAGACTAAAGACTAGCTAAAGAAAGGATCATTTTTCACCGTGAGCAGATATTTAAGTGGCTCTTCATCGCATTCATCCTCATCACTGTTAACCTCATCTTCACTTTGGCCATTCGTTCTTTGGCTTGAAGGATGTAATTGGAATTCTGTATTTCCTGATAGCGCAGCGAACGAGGAACAAGCCGAATACTGTATAGAAGAGTTCGCAAGGACTTTGATCATATCGTTCTCGTCAATGTCATCAATGCTGGCTTTTTTCGGAAATTCTGCGACAGAAATAGTTCGAATGTATTCAGCGATCAATACATGTTTTGATTCAAATATAAATAAGCTGAATAATACAGGCGTTTTGAGTTGTTCTCATTGATCTATAGGAGGACAGACGTACTGATCAAATCACTACTCGCTTTTTTTTATTCATGATACGAAAGAAACGCTACAGATTCCAAGTCTCCGTACTTCTGTCGAGTGAAAGATCATAGATGAGATCACAACGTGGTCAGGACATCAGTGACTCTCGATGGACTGCGCTTCTTGTGCCACATTTTTGCTCTAACCAAACTTCGATCTCATCTGTAATTTATTACTGAACAGATGAACAGACTCACGGCAACATGGAATCCCTTTATCAAAGTGACATTTTCTCAGAATATATATTTCAATTTACTGTGCAAGCAAGTATCAAAATCATGCAAACAAGAATGCACATCAAATAATTCTCACCTATTCCTGATAAAGGGAGTTTGTTATCCTCTCCTCTGTCTTTTTCCAGCCACTGAGCCACTGTGGCAAGGTACTGACTAAACACATCGGTGACTTGACGGTTGTAGCTTTTGACTGCCTTGACAAATTCATCCGGGAGATCCTCCAAAATGACCTGCATTTAGTCCAAAATCCAAACGTTTTCATGATTTGTACACTCAAGACGCTTAGCAGTCACGCGTTATAAAAGCTATTTTGACGTGCGAGAGAGAAATTCATTCGTTTTGGTAAAGCTGGTTTCAGTTTTTTTTCCAGTGCATTGTATATCCTTCACAAAGTTCACGACCACCTCCAAAGACTTTAAATGAAACTTTTAAAGAAGCGCTGTTTAGAGCACTTTTTTGAGAACGTGGGTAAGTACAAAATAACGCACCGAAACTAAATTCGTTTTCAAGATGAACCCCTCCTCAATTCGCGCTTTACAACAAATCAATTTTAAGAATAGACCAGTAGATCATCCAAGGGAAGGGTATGCTTACTTTTGAAGAGGATGGTGTCCTTAGCATGATCGAGGGATGAACATAAGTTCTTCCAAATAAGTGGCTCAGAACAAGCACCATTTTCCTCATAACATCTTCAGAAAATTTACCTGTCACAGTAAAAAAAAGCATAATTAACGCGAAGTATGGATGCAAAGTTTGCCAAAGAGAAATACGCCGGCGTTAACAGTATAGTTAAAAAAGACCCTCCAGATTAAATCAGAGGCGCAGTGGACTGACGGTGAACGCACTAGACTTTGGGTAAAGAGGTGTGGGTTCGACACCTGGTTGGGTCATAGTGTTGAGTTCTTGGACAAGACACTTTATCCTCACAATACCTCTCTCCCCCCCGGAAGTATATCTGATTAGCGTAGAGCTGTCAGGGAAGCTGCGAATTATCTTTAGTGGATAGACATTCCACCTAGGGAGGATTAGTAATCGTCCTATGCACCCTATACAAACAAATCCGAAGTAAAGTGTGGCGCCTTGTGGGCCAATCGAGAGTAGACTTATCAACCAATGTAAAGAGGTCCCTTAAAGCCAAGCGACCTTACTTCCTAATATGTTTCCCGGGCCTCCTTTGTTACCCCATCGCGATAACCCAGAGGCAGGTGACAAAGCATCTCATTATATGTGTTGTTAGAGGCCACTTCTTGTTATAAGGTGTATACAACATTTGCCAATAAAAATTGATATATGCACAATTGTTAAGTTCAGAGAGGAACTGTAATGGTGAAAGGTAAGCAGCAAGGGCGAACAAAGACCACAGTTTGGATTAAAAAACGACCAGGCAGGACAACTCGATTTCTCTCTAGTTGGAGAAATTTTCCCCTTCTTTTATGATTTTACATAAAATCATTTGCTAAGGAATCGTTTTCTCTTAGCGTCTGAAAAGTGTGATCCTTCCAAAAAGCTTTAAAAAAGTGTCACCTTGCTAATCAGTCGTTCAGTTTGAAAGGAGCTGCGGGCTTACCGTTTGTCCCTGGCTGACATAGCTCGTGGAAGAGACCACATTGTAGAAAACTGATGAGGGCATAATTGGAGGGTTCATGGTAGTGAAGATGGGTCGCCAGTCCGGCCATTTCCTGTGGAGCTCCGGTTTCTTTGTTTATAAGAGACTGGAAACGAACGAGTGATTAAAGACTTTGGTTATAAATCCCTTCGTGCAAGCTTTCGCCTGGCTTTGAAATTCCATTTACTAGATGTTGATTTGTCACGTAACGAGATCAAATTATGGTGTGCTAAGCTTACTAAAGCCCAGGCAATCCTCTCCCTACTCCTGTGAGAGACCACACCTCACCAAATATACAGAAAGGATAATACTGTGAAGGCAAAACGTTTTCAATGACTCATGTATCAACTAGAGATATAGAAAACCTTTGGTCGTACTACTCACCAATCTAGTTAAAAGTTGAACGCTGAAGAGGAAATGTAGCTTGATCTGGGTTTCCATTTGCGGGTACTTTTGGCAAATAAAAGGATGAGACAGCAATGCTAGGGCCTAATAAAAAAAGGATGTGCGAGTACATCTAATACGCTCAACATTGTAAACACATGTAAAAGTCGTGATTGTTAATTCTCTTGTCTTAATCTGATTATGAAGTATTTGTATTCAATTAGGTTGAGAGTATCTCCTGCGCAGAACAATGACGCAGCAGAAACTTATTTTTTCATAGTTTAGCTATATCGGCAAAAATAGGCTTTCTAATCAAGCGTGAGTCGAGTGCAAAGGGCACACTTACTGCCTGAAGGTAACTTATCTTATTTTATCATAATGTCTATTAAGGAAAAAGGAAACCATTAAAAATTCATTCAAAAGAGTCCTTCGAAACCTTAGTGAGAGCATCTTTCTTGTCATCTGCTTGGGTCGTCATCAGAAGCAGCCGCAGAACCAGTGAGACAGTGATGGGGTAGTTGCCGACAAGCTTCGGGATATTTGCAGTCATGAGGCGTTGGATTTTACGGTAAGGAATTCCAAAGAAAATGACTTTTCCCACGGGATCAAAACCTCTCCGACCCGCCCTGCCAGACATCTGAAAATGACAAATAAAGCCCTGGGTTCACACTCGTGGTATTAGCAATAGTATTACAGCTATCACGGAAAAGATTGTTCAGTGGCACGTGTCAAAAATTATCCTTCAAGCATTCGATATATACATGTGTATTGGACGCTGTGAAGCCTATTCACCGCATGCGTTAAGGGAACCTCGTTATGCAGAGGTTTCAAAAACGTTTCCCTTAAACGACTCTCGATGGCTGTGATGAACACGAGAGCCTACTCGCAGACTAAACAGACGGCGGTGAAAGGTTTTATAGGCGGCAGTAGACCGCCGGTAATCGACTTTCATAGAAACCCCTGCGTTTTGCTATGCAGGGATTGAAAGAAATACATCGAAAGAACAATTTAAAAAATCGCTAACAATCACGGAAACGCCGAACTAGAGAAATTTCGAACAGCGAGAACTGACCATGAGTTAAGTTAGATATGTCCCACTCAATTACCTGCCGGTACTGCAGTGAATTTAAGTAGTGCGAGTCTCCGGCAAACACGACTGTCTTACAAGGCATGTGAATACCAAGAGCCAACGTTGCAGTTGAATTAACCACCTAAAAAGGTAAGTAAATACTGTAATGCGATTTACTAGATCTCAAACTGTGTGCCCAATCGCATGATTGGTTCTCAAAGGTTTGCTTGAATATACATTTTCTACCGAAAAGCCTAATCAAATTCTGAGGATGATACCATGAGTGGATACGAGGGAGACACCCTTCAATAAGGATCATCGTTTACACTCAGCCTTAAGGTGTAAATCTTCATTTAGAATCATACTCTACGTCGAAATATTCCAAATCAAAACGCTTTCGCGAGTACACCTAAATATGTGACTTTTTAACAGTTTACATACAACTAATGGAATCTTACCTGAAGGTATTTGCCTCTGAACAACATTTCCACCACGGAGCGCTTTTTCGCATTACATCCACTATGATGAAAGCTGATTCCTCGTTTTAGAGCCCGCTTAAATAATGATTTGTCAGGGATGTACGAGATTCTCTTTGTTATCTTTTCGTAATCCTACAAATGAATTTTATCAATTAAATTGTCTAATTGTCTTCATAATGCCTCTTTTGATAGGTGCGTCACAAATAATTGCTTTTTTCAAATGTGTTCAGTGGCATTTAGCTCCTGCAAGAGGACATCTTTGTTTGACTACCGCTAGCATTTCATAATCACGACATGGAGTTGTTCCATTGTTCCGAAAAAACAGCATTCTGGTTTGCAATTTAAAGAAGTAAACTCAAAAATAGATCCTCTGGGCAAAAAAAAGAAAGTCACAAAACACCGGTTTTGTTATCGAAACAACATTCCTTTGCTTCCTACCTTTCTTCCAATCCCGAATGTAAATGCCAATGAGCACTTGAGTAGAATTTTATCCACGGCTGAAATAGAAACACTCTCATCTCGCTCATCCGGTTGGCTTTTTAATCTGTTTGGAGAGCAGTTATACCATGTAAAAGCAATAGGAAACAAGCAAAAGAAACAGCAACAACAAAAACAAGACCCTCAGTCGTTTTTGTACGTATTGTCACGCCTTCGGGCCAATATTCCTCCGTCCGACCTTCACACTCGGTTAGTAAGAAGTTAATATACAACAACTCAAGCTCTGCTATAGAAGAACACCCTAAAACTTAAAAAAATACTTCGGAAAACCGTCCAAATAAAAGATTGAACAATAAATGTACTAAAAGGAAAAAGGCAGGTCACAAAAGTTCCACACAACTGTAGTTTCATGACTATAAATCGGTCAAGGCAGACCGAATCACTGAACCTTTTCTCTTCTTCTTTCTGTATTTCATCTCTTTTTCTGTGCAACTTTTTTTCAGCTTTTTCTTGTCTTTTCTGTGCAAGTCTTGATTCTTTTGTGTCGGCCTCTCTTCGCATAACTAGTTCCTTGTTTTCTAGTTTCTGAGCATAACCGAGGGCCAAAACTTCGCAGAGTCTACGATCATCGCTATGAAGAAGAATTATACATATCTTAACATTGACACTTGGATTTTCTTCTTTTTCCACTTACTGTCGGGGCATTAAAGTGAACGAATATTCGCTTATTAACCCTTTACAACGTAACATCAGTACGCCAATTCTCCACACTGTTCTTTAAACATTTCCTAAGTTGCTGACAAGGAGAATTTGTTTGCCAATCAAAGGGTTCCTTCCCTAGCGACCATTTCCTTTACTCTTATGACCTTAGTGCGTGATTCAGGAGTAATATTGTAGGGAGAAATTAGATGCTGGTCACTCTTAGGGTTTAAAGAGTTAATGAAATGTTATCCAAGATAGATGGAAGCCCCGCAAAACAAAATAACGAAAAACACAACAACAGGAGAGCCTCCAAAGTAGCGGTTGAAAGCCAAATTATCACAGCGATGGTCAGTGTTTGAAAAGCTGATGCTCATCAAGTTGACCTTTACGCTTGACAAAGACCAACAGTTAAATGTAACATACAGTTACGATCCACATCAGAAATTATTACATCGTGGGCAGACATCAATATTTCATGATCAGTGTGCTTTACCACGATGAATAATTATGGACTTGTCGCAAAAATTGCTGGAAAATTCAGGCTTTCGTCATTCATTTAACGCGTTCCATATGCGTAGTCCTGATAAACTAACAAATCTACCGGAAGCTTTTCTCCTTTTTGAACAAAGAGAAGGGGTGCGCTGGCTTTTCCAAATTAAAAGAAAATGATAATATCTCTGGTTAAATATTTATGAAATGGCCTCGTGAACAACTTATCGGTTTACTACCTTTCAAATGTAGTAAACCTTTGAAATTAGTTGTGTCTTTCTCACCGCACATTAGTGTGTAACGTTACATTGTGCTAACCTTCCCGTGCTTACTGATTAACCCTTCACTCCCAAGGTAATTCTCCTTATTATCTGCCATACAATTCTTATAATGTTAGCTTAGAGAAGTTGGTATTAGATCAACTAAGAGTCCCGTCATCGATATGTTTCTTTATTCTCATCACTTGTCTTCTTGATATTGTATTGATACTGTAAGGAGAAATTCTCTCTCGGTCACTCATGGGAGTTAGAGGGTTAAGTAAGATCTAGTGTTGTTCATTAAAGTTGACTCTTAACAATTCTCATTTACCTAAATACCAAGGCAGGCAGTTTCTCTTGGGCTTTGAGCTCGTTGATAAGTTTTTCAAAAGTTTTCTTTATGAATGTTTTACCATACGAAGTCATACTCTGTTCACCCCATCGTTCTTCCGTTGACGAATGAGTTTCCAAAAAAACTGAGTTTAAAGAATCAATAACTGACTGAACCTAAGAAAACAAAAACAATGATCCTATTCAATACACAATACAACTAGAGCCTGTATCTTACAAAGTGCGTGTTTCGTTTTTATTGCTTGTTAAAAATTGTTTTTTTCCATTTGTTTTTGAGCATGGTTATACAATGCAAAACAAATAAAAAACGACTGTCACTCAATGAATAAGATATATTTAAAACTGCGGATTAATAATTGAAAATGAGAGACATCAGTGCAGTTATGAAAACTAATCAAACAGTACTGAAAATAAAGCCTGAAAAATGCAGCCATGTACAGGATATGAACCCCACGACCCCTACGTTTTTACCTTTGTCAACTCTGTGCTGTCTGCCCAAGACTTGAACTCCCTCTTCAGGTCACTCTCGTATTGCCGAGCATGACGCTTTTGGATCAATTTATTTTCCATGAAATATGTCTCAGGACAAAGATGCTGCCGAGAGAAATTTTACTCACATTAACCATTGTCTCTCGACCGGCATTTACAAGATTGAAATAGTGATGACCAGTGCACTCACCTGAAGTGATTCACAATCTGGCCACACACTAACCATAGTGTCATACAACTGCAGAGACTCTTTTGGTGTAAGTGCCATATCACCTGGAAAACCATTTTCTAGAAGCTGTTTGTGTAAGAAAAATAGCTCGTGAGACTCTTAAGTAAGTACCTCGAATTAGAGGGAGGGTAGCGTTTGGGTTACAAATCCATGGATTTTGCCGACAAAACACGAATCAAGATAGAACTCGACACTTACAACGCCTAGATTTTCGTCTAAACCCTTTGAACTTGACAAATAGATTTCATGTTGCCATGCGTCTGTTCAATCATGGATCACAGATGACGTTAAAATGTGGCAAGAACAAAAAAGTGGCAGACGAGGTGCAGCCGAATTTGCTCTTACCACATTTTGACGTCTACTGTGATCTATGGCTGTACAGATGCATCGCAGCATAGAATTTTTTTTTTGAGCGACATGTCGGTGGTGACATCATTTATGGGTGTGTCCTTCCCGTGTATAGTTTTCCCCGTGTATAGTCCTCCGTAAGTATATTCATCTTAGCATATGAACTAAAACGGATAACCCGATTCCAAAGAAGAAAACCATACACTGTTATGGGAATTGAATCTAGATTGAAGGCAAACGAATAAACGGATGTCAAAAGAAAGAACACATTACTTAAATTATTTAATAAGCATTATTATAAACAAAAGAATAAAATATTACACGTGTAATAATGCAGTTTCCACCTGTAGACTGAAGGAAAATCAATGTAATCGCGATTATTTTCATCGGTGAAATGCAACCTTATGGTTCACTTTGGTTTTTGTCTTATGTCACTAAAATTAAACTGTTAAAATATTGAATAAAGGGGGGTAACCTTCTACAGAAACCGTGGTGCTGCGTCAGTGGTAGTAAAACAAGATAATTTGGTTTTATCAGCTAAGGTGATAATGTAAATTGGCCACTGTAAAGATTTTCTAAAGCTTACAAATCTTGAATGTACTAAAGAGGAATCAAACGCCTGACCTGTTTGTATCCTAGCTGGGCACATGGATGAAGTCCCACGAACTCCTCGCTGTCGTTGTTAACATGTTGTCCTTCGTTATTAGGACTTGGAAGGAAAATGCTCTTCTCCAGATCGGAGTATCTTTCTTCAAATTGAACTTAAAAATAAGCAAGGAATCAGAAGAAATCAATGAAAAATTAGGAATAAGTAGAGATAAGTTCCTCAGTAAAAAACTGATATGGTGTGTCACTATAAAAGAAATAAAATTATCGACTTTATGCTTAACAGGAAGTAGTATACCTTCGCGAACCGTCGTGTCACAAACATCTCACGAAAAAAAGTAATAGAAATGGCTTTGAGTTTAAAATAGGTAAAAAAATAGGTAAAAAGACACTCGAGGATAAGCCTTACAAAATATTTTTCCCCACCTAATCTGACCCGATATGACTCCCTCAGATTTTCATTGTTTTTCTTGTCCTGCTCTTCATGAAAGTCTTGGGCGGCTTGCAGCCAGCTGTACGTAAGGAAATGAATACTTTTAATCTCTGTTATCAAAAAGAAAGTCTTAGCAAATATGATACTTCCAGTAGTTCAATAGAAGCCTTCAGGAGAAAAACTGATATCTCTTCAATTCTTACAGTCTTAGATCCTCTGGATTTCCAATGGTTGCTGATAGCGCCAGGAAGGGACAGCGAATCATAAGAAGAAGATGCTCCCACACTTCAGCTCCAGTTTCTGAACCAATACAGTGAACCTATGTAGAGCGTCATAGAATTTACTTCAGTCTGAATTATTTCCCTTAAATTCTACACTTGCGGATAAGGGTAAAAATAGATAATTTAATATCAATTAATCAATCAATTATTTATTTTAACACGTTTCGTCGAGGAGCTAACAATTCGTTCAAAATAAGAACGTGTATAAATAAGATCTATACATATTAGAGCTAACATATAATATCACACCATCTTAAAACAACTTAGTCAACATACGACAACTAGCAATAAATGCGTAAAATATAAAAAAAGCTTAATCCTAAACTAAAAAAACCATAAGATAGCTAAAAACATGACGAGAAGACTATAAGACACGTTCTAAGAGCTGCAGTCTTACAATTTACTATTAAAGTCATTTCCATCCCTTGAGAGATATACTTGAGAGGGCAAATTGTTCCATAACTTAGTTAATGAAACTACAGCTCATAATGAAACAGTACTCAATTTAAACACGAAGTACAAAGGAAACAGACATGTAAGAAGTAGCCTTGAATAGCTTTTTCAATAAACTCATCTACTTAATTGAACAAAGAAACTCAGCGAAACTGCATGTTCAACAAATATTCACTTGTTGACGTGGCAAAAAAAGGATATGATGCTCTTTTACCTCATCAAAAATAACGTATTTTACGTTCCTAATCCAATCCTGTCGGCGCGGAGAGAGAAAGAGGATCTCCAAACACTGGGGGACTGTAACAAGAATCTGTAGGTAAATTGGCAAACAGTAAGGTACTTTTGAAATCTCATTCTGTATTAGGATTAAATTTTAAAAGTATTTACCCAACAATTGTAAGTTTCTAAGCCAGTGAGATCTAAGGCATTTTCTCATACTTTTGCAGAAAAGATGAGTTGATCCGGGGGAAAACGAAAGTTACTAAGCCTACCGATTTTCAAATTAATTTCGAGTTACCTGAGAATTTAGTGTGTCGCGACGATAGTCCCTCGTAAAAACACCGAACACTGATCTCCCACCAGGCATCTTTTTTGTAAACCGCGCATAAATTGTAGCAACGACTTGATTGACCAAAGCCTTAAGGGACAGTAAGAACTGATTAGTAATCCTAATGATACAATAAATAAAATAAGACAACAAGGTTGTCTTGCTGTTTCTTTAAAATTATTCTACATGGGTTCAAAACTGAAATGGGATCTCGTTGACTCTTACACGGCTATCCAAAATTTGATCAAGCCGAGAAATGAATAAAAATGAAACAGTAGGTATCAAAATGTTGGCTTCGTTGACAGTGATCAGAACTAAATAAGGATAGCTTCTCTACAACACATACTGGTGGATGTTATTCAACCTCAACGACCCAGACAAATTTTGGCTGAGGTTTAGGTGAGTATTTGGGCTTTGAAGCACGTTCAGATGAAGTGGACTCTTCAGCCATTGAGAATTTAAAGGAAAAAAATGCACCAGGAAACGTGTAAAGTTTCCCTCCACAAATAAAATACATAAAGAAATTATGCCGCTGATCGCGTTATGAAACTTCAATGAGTTGCCTCACCTCGTCATCTTGCATTTAAATGTGCTAAACCACGGAGGCCACATTCTGAATCTTGCTTACCAACCTGGCTGCTTTCCTTCAATCCACCTATTGGCTCTCTCTTTGTAAATTTGAGAGCTCCACCAATATGTAATCTTAACTCAAAAAATTTTTTCAGCGACAACCATACAGTATATATTGGTGAAAGGCGTGGTACTGTTTTGCGTAAGTGGCCAAATTATTAAGCTGTTTTTAGCCCACGGTCGAGTTTTAGGCCCATTTAGAGACAATTTTAAAAGGTAAGGTCATTCAATTGTATATTTTTTGAATTCTCGAAATTTGGTGAGTAAAACATTTCTATATGTTTAATTACATGGTGTTTAGAGCACACTTTTCGTTGAACCCCGCCACGATACATAACTAGGCCGGGATTGTTTACTTACAGAAAGGAAATGCCAAAGAATGCCACTTTACCTTTGTCGGTGCGACATAAACCACTACACTATCATTGTCTTGCCTCAGAATTTTCTCCATGCAGTAGTAGGAGGCGTAAGTCTTTCCTGAAGAAGTTGGTGCTACTATCACAGCTGATTCATTGTTATCGACAGCATCGAGAAGTTCGCGCTTCGAAATGAACAAAAGACACTCCGGCATTAAACTAGAAAATTTCCTAACTTTGCGCAAAATGATACCAACAAACGGCCTCGGAAGGGAACTTACCATGACTTTTACAACTATTATTAATGTTTCAAGCATGAGCATATCGTCCATTACGCATGGTAAATATGTCTATAAATATATACCTGCCATGTATCCGGAATAAAATGTTTAACCCGAGGGTCCGGATCGGTTCTCACTTCCCGTTTCAGCAAATGCCCCATGTATTCAAGTTGGAATCTGGTGCTTGTGGTGTGAACAAAAAGCCGTTCAGTCTAGGATCAAAATACATTTCTGACTTATAATTCTGAGGTATTCATCATCCTTACTTCATCAGTCCTCATTACTATTTTCTTTAACAATATCTTTGGACAAAAGGATATCTTTAGAAGATATTATTAACATTATTATAAAGAGTTAAGAACTATGTAAGCAAATTTTTTTTGATATTCCCAAACAAGTTCATTCACATGTCACATGTCCCGCTATAGGCTTCTTTCCTGTAATTTACTTTATTGCAGTTCACCTCCGATGATCATTTCTTCACTAGTAACTTTTATTGTGTATAATTGTAACTTTGCACGATATATAGTGTATAGTGGTGTCGATGAGAATCGTGATTTGTTACATAAAACAAGGTCCAAAGAGTCGTTTGAAATATAATGAGAGTAAGACTGTTAATTAAGACCACATTATTTTGAGCAACTTGTAAACTTGGAATAGTTGATGTGGAATGGTATTTGTTTACCTTTCTCTCGTGATCTAATGGCATCTCATAAAACAAAGGAACAAGGTCGTAAAATCCCAACTTTTGCATAATTCCAGCAAGTTTCTTTCTGTCTTCATCATTCAGAACACTTGGGAAGTCTTGAGAAATTTTATGGACACTTTCCATCAAAAGTACAGGATATTTCAAATCATTAGATTCTGGGTCAGCATCTCCTAGAAAAGAAAAATGGTAATTTGTTAAATTGCAGTGTAACTTTATTATCCTTGTCGCGCAAACGCACCCTTAGATTTGTTACTTTTGAATCCCGTCCATGTTCTCTCAACAGAGCATTTTCAATCGCGTTTTAAGTCGCAGGTAAATTTATTAAAAGAATTGTTGGGATTTACTCGAAAAGAAGAGTTCCGATCCCAGAAAACTGACTTGGAACACCAACATGCACAAGGCCCCTCCCTAATTTACCTACCGTAATGTCTTGTGAAAACACTACGTTTTACTTAGACTTACTTGTCTGTTTCCAGGCTTCAAAGCAACAGTCCACTTTTGTCATGAGCGCGTGAAGACGAATTTCCGGAGATTTGCAGTCTAACAGATAATTATCAACCAATTCAAGAACATTACTGAAGTCATCTCCCCTCAGATTCGTTTCGATTTTTCTCAAAATGTTATCCCATTTTTCTTGATTTACCGATTCCCTTTGCTCTGTTAAAAAAAAAATGTGAAATAAATTTCAATCCTTTTTTTTATTGAAATTAACGTCTTGATCATGTTGGTTACAAAACAAGCATCCCTTGCGAGAGCACAAGTATTTTTACCCAGGATATTTAACCTCAGATATACAGGGCACAGAGGCACAGAGGCACAGAGGCACAGAGGCACAGAGGCACAGAGGCACAGAGGCACAGAGGCACAGAGGCACAGAGGCACAGAGGCACAGTTTTCATTTAATTACCGTGGAGGCCAGAATTTTTTCTCTTCCGTAATTCTCCATCGGCGCAATTTCAGTAAACTAGAAAAGATCAGCTCCGTACTTGTTATCTTATTACACTGGTTCCTTGTCTATGGCACATAGAAGTAATACAGCGAAACAGTTACGAAACACATAAAAGTGATGATATTTCATGGACATGATCCTTTTTATGGGCACAACTATAGATAAACGACTTACCGGTGATATTTTTAAGATTTTTCTCTTTCATTTCCAAAGTCTTTTTGCTCTGTAAAAAAAAACGAAAGTGAGCGTGTTTCTTAAGACAAGTTCGGGAAACACCTTTTTCCGGACTGGAATTTCGAAGTGATTGTCGAGTAGACTCTTCAAATAAATCCAATGAATTGGCTATTCTACATTCCCAGTGAGGGTGAATATCATTTTCCCTCAAACAAACAAACTAACAAAACAAAACCCAAACAAACAAATGAGCACAAAAATCATGCAAAACATCCGAAATATCTCATATCTTATTCGAATCAAACGTCCCAACAATGTATAAGAAATTTTAATGAAGGACTTTATTTTTAAGATTTAGAGGCTTTTATAATATTCTCCCTGACAAAACTAACCTGTTTAGGTTCCTCTCTTTCCCCTTTTTTTTTTCTTGACCCTGACTTTTGGGCAACGATTGTTTTTTGTTGATCAGCGCCACCAACAAGTGAATCGCCGTAGAATCTTTGAAAGAGAGTATATTTCTGCTTATCTTGAAAATACCATTTCTTTTGCCTACGATCTTTTGGAGGTTTTTCTGAAAAGAGATGTATTGACAATATAATTTAAAGATGTGCTGCGATTTCATACTGTGAAAACAGTTCTTTGCTGGTTAACTTTCAATCTTAATAAGCTTGAGGGTATTTACCAGTAATAGATTTCTTTGTTCTGTCGTAATCATCAGAAAGAGGCTTAAGAGAATGCCAGTGATATCGTTCATCAAATTCTCGGCCAACATTGGGTACTTCGTCATCACTCATTTCTCTGCGGAGCATGAACAAACCAGGCATGAAATAATATTACAAAAAAAGAGAGAAAAAACTGCATAATAAAATAAAATAACAAATCGTTTTCAGGGTTTCTGTTGAGTTCGCTTGACGAAACTCGTCAATTCAGTTAGTCTTGCATCCTTTTGGAATGCTTGGAAACTTCCTGAACTCGTAGTTGATATTAAAAGGGGAAAGGTTTCTGAAGCACGACAAATCTCTTAGTTACGAGATGTCGTCGGATTTTTCGAGCCTGACCGTGCTTAAATTAGCATTCCAATTGTATTCATTTATATGACAAATAGAAAAACTAAAACAATGAATAACAACAACAAAATGTTTCACGGTTTTGAAAACTGTGCATCTCGTTTAACTTTGTTAAATTGCAGTCGTAAGCCACACGGACACAAATGGACAAGGACGAGTCGCGCAGACTTAACAAGTTCCCCCAACGAGGAAAAACCAAGCATAAAGCCACATGAAAGACAAGGCGTTAGCTTTTTATTATCTTACTCTGACATGGCGTTAATTTCTGTCCGAATATCTCCAGCATAGTCATTCACAAGATCACTTTGCACCTCAGTAAGTCGCCTAAGTTTCATGGTGGAGTTTGCATCAGAACGTACAACCGAAACTGTTGAAGTAGAAAAAAATGAGCCCCTAAATGTTTTCAGTTCTCGTCCCTTGATTTGGCGGTTCAAAAATATGAAATTAATGCTTCAATTTTCAAAAATTAATTGAAACTATCTCGCCTACAGCTGTAAAAACGGATGTTTAACTTCTTTTTGTGGGAAAAGAGCCAAAATGGCGTATTATTTAACTTATTTATTTGAATGATCCAATATCTGACTTGTTTTGTCCTGTTCAGTTTAGATTGACTTCAAAAGTCCTAGTAAGACTTTTTCAAGACTTTTTTGTCTCTTACGTGCAACACTGCGAAAAAAAAATAATTCAGTAATTGAAGTAAACAAGGTTAAACCATGTTTCCATAATCGAAAGAAGAGTAAAGAGGGAAAATTCACAATCCATGCCAAATGAAACGAAAAACAAGCCCTTTAATTAGAGAACGTAGAGATAAATTAAGTAAAGGACATGTATAAATTAGTAAATTGATTCGCACATAGGAATTTGGTGGAAACATTTCTCACCAACTGCCACATGAAAATCTGCCAAATCCTCGGCAAAGGGAAAAAACTCGGCCTCAAGGGAATGGGAACCGCATGACCTGTTAACAACATCTACAACATTTTTCCACGCATCTTCTACTTCCGTGATGACATCCCCTGGTAGACTGAGTTCTAATACAAGTAAATACAAGTAAATACAAATAATTATGAAGAAGGTATAACTACAGGTATAGTTAAATTTGGATTGTTACAAGCTATTGCACGTATTCAGCACAGTGAAAACTGTAGGGATGATTAACACGGCTGTAGCTAACTTGTACCCGTGTGCTCTCCCACCAAACGTGTAAGTAGAAAAACAATAAAATGAACAAGAACGAAAAAACAGAAAAATATCTAAACAAAACAGAAAAAAAAACAATAAATCTAACGGTCCTAATGGTCCTAACAGTCCTAAAGAATTCTATTTCTTCATCGGGAATTTCCCACGCGCAATGAACGCGCTCATTGGCTTGTCATTTTTATAACCCACCTTCAACGCCTTTTGACCTTTGCTGCAAGACAACTGAAAAAAGCGTATGGACCAGACGCCCATCCATTAAATCTGCTACAGACTTAAAAAAGCCATTGCCTGTTTGGTCTCTACTTGCATCCCCCTGCACATCTTGTACTGTCTTTAAAATCTCCCATAAACACCTATGGATCTGTCAGCAGATAATAAACGCATCACGCGTTTGAGTGCTGGGCATTTTTTTTTTTAAGTTGTATGCTCTACAAAAATGCGAAACAATGAAAAAAAAGTTCCTTTCAACATAAATCCTCTCGAGGCCAAAACCGCAGAATAGATGAACGCATTTCTAAAACGAAAATGGAGGCATGAAATTCAAAATAATTTTAATAATTAAGCCTTGCTTACTCATACACTGTGGGAAGAGATAGACTACCTCCTTTATGCCGAATTCTTTAGAAAATCTTCACCTTCAGGATTTACCTAATTCGTCGAGGCTCGGTTACAGCTATAAATATGGACATAAAAGAGGTGGCTAACCATGTTTAGTCGCTTCATGCAAAAGTCTGTAATGTATATCATGCATTGTTGTCTGGAAAACGATGCAGTTGAAGTTGCACATCTCCGTTTAGGACAGTGTCCATTGCGAGAGAGTCCACGGCACGATAATTTGTTACTTAACCTCACTGACCTCGTTGAAGGGAAAGACGTTACCATCCTTTGCTCTGCAGAATTCATTCAACAAGTTCTCGTCTATGAAGTGAGCTCTACACTTCAATGGCAGTTTGTTCAGTAACACAATATGAAGCAAGAAAAGTTTCATTCTGTCCTCTTCAATTTTCATCGTTTTCTGTAAGCGTAGTGGAAAGATAGACTTTAGTATCATTCCGTGAGTAACATTTTTGAATAGATAGTGATTAAGAAATTTCTTAATTGCACTTAATGTGTCCCTTCCGTACGTACCTTGGTGTTTCTAGAGTCTTTGACAGCTTTAAAAAGGATCAGCGCACACCCAAGGACTGCGGCAACCTGCCGACAGCCACCTTGTGGAGGAGGCTGAAGAGATTTGCGAACCTCTGCTTCTATGTCAATCTGAGGTACGTCCACGTGTTAAAGTAATAAAATAAATAAATCAATACCAACTGATTAATCACCAGCAAACGACAATATCAAGAACCACACATCTACATACATAAGCGCCCCCCTCTCCCCCCCTCCCCCCAATTGCGTGAAATTCATTTTTCCGAGTTCAAATCCGATCACCGTTTACCAGGTCATGGTCAAATCTGTATGCAATCATGTGTGCACAATGAGAAATAACATTTAGAGACAAATGCTTCTCAGAATTTCTTCAAATTGAAAGAGGATCCAAACGTTCAATTTGGAATAAAATATTTGATTATTTGAAAAACAAGAAAATTGATTTTGCGTTGTTTGGCATCGGATCAATTGAACATTCAGCAAGAGGACTTTCCAAAATGAATATCTCATCAGAGACCGTTAAGTTATAAATATATTTTAGATAAAACCTTAATGGTGTGCTTGAACTGTGTCGAATATCACCCACCAGAGCATCTCGAGGAAAAGTCTCCGACCGTCTCGGAGAGGATTTATATGCCTGATCCTGCCAGCCACTCACTAGAAATTGCCATGTTTTCCTTATTGGCTGTTCAAACTAAAAAACCAATAAATGTAATAAAACACGTTTGTAAGTTTTATTATCTATAAAGGGGATGTTTGTGTGGGAAAAGAGCAACTCTTCATATTTCAATCACGTTGCACCTGATTTCAAATGAAGGCAGTGAGAGGGAAAAACTGCCTTAAGGGTTTATCGTTAATTGAGCATAATAAATCTGAAACCATATTAATCAAAATGGTCAATCACACTGAGTAAAATATCATGAGGACCTAACGAACAGGAAACAAGCAAACGTGTGTGTGGGGGAGAAGACAGTTGCCATCTCAAGTTTTCCTTCAGTTTTGCAACTGCTTGTTTAACTGGGAAATGTGAGTTTCCGCGACCAATCGTGCTTTTAAGGGTAAATCAAAGCAATTGCAATAAATTAAAAACTAGTCTCGCGTGAAAGTGGATCAGTCTAATCCTACGCCTCTTGATAATTTTTTAGTTTCCGGTGAGAATAATTTTTACCTTCGTAAAGTAGTTTTTGTGAATAGCCGAGGAATTGATGTAAAATCCCATCACTTTGGTGGCAGTTATCTGGATGCCCGAAATGAACACACAATTCAATCCATGTGCAAGACAATGAAACAAGAGACACCGGAAAAAATATTGCATTGTTTCTTTTAGGTTGCCATGCTTCCAAGGAATGTTTTCAGCATCTGTCAACAGCACAAACGCAGGAACTTCGTCATTAACGTAATCATGCCACTCCTGTCCCCAGAAATCCACCATTGAAGTTTTCACAATAAAATCTGTGTTGTACTGGAGATGAAGAATAAGGGCTTCTCGAGCGAGCAGCAAGAACGGGTTACTTCTCCACATAATTTCCATTTCTTTAAGAAAGACGATGTGGAAAACACCACCTTGAGAGAAAAAACCACCGTTCATAAGATAAAAATTTGAGTAGATTAAAAGAGCGAGAAAGAACCTTTTACCAGTTGTAGGTGATGGCACCTCCTTGCCCTATCGTCCCAAGTTCCGTCGCCCCCATAAAAGTACCATCGCTCTAAAGTATAGATTCGTCGCCCTTTGCTTTTGACTTGAGTTTAATAAAGGAACCATACCTCTGAGAGACGGAACTTCATTGGGGGACGATGGTGCTTCACTGGGGGCGACGGAACTTGGGGCGACCAATTAAGGGGGGCCACGTCACCTGTTATCCCTTTTATCGTATTTATCAATTTGCCATTCAGTACACCACTCGTAAAACTCATGAAAAACGACATACGGCATCGGAGTACATTTCCAATCTTCATTAGTGAAAACAGTTATGACGTCTTTTAGCGCTTTAACAGGGCTGTTTGTGTTTGTTCCGGAAGGCAAAGAAATCTCCTTCAATGAGAAACAACAACATGCCAACGCTAGGACGAAAACTTCACGCAACTACAAATTTTGCGAGTAATTCCTTGCAAGTGAAAAAGAAAACGAAAGGAAACCGAAGGGTGACTTTAACATATGATTGTAATTTTTGAAAATTAACAACACCATCTCACTCAGTCGCCGCGCTTATTCTACTTTCATTTTATAAAAACCAAAATGGAGTTTGAGTTTGAGGTGAAGATAACCCATATGTGCATTCTTATGAAAACTGCCCTGTTGGAAGTGTTCAGCTACCTTTGCACTAACCTTTCTCTGTGAACTTTTGCAAAAATCGCTCCGTTAAGTATGTTAGATGCAGAAACTGTCCCCCGTTATTCCAGTCCAAGCTTTTCTCACCAACAATTTCTAACAGCAAGGAGTCGCCGTCAATTAGGAAAATCTCCGCGTCTGCAAAGTCTGTCAGGATGTTGACAAACCTGTTGAGCAGAAAAGGGAAACTGAGTACTTCTTGCTAAAGGAAACATTTTTCGTTCTCAAAATATTAAATGCTTGTTCCAAGATTAGGTAAAATGTTTTAGGTCGCTAATGCAGCTGCCACTCAAAATCCAAATCTCCTACCATCAGAATCACGAAAAACTTACGACTGATTCATTCCTGGGTATTTGTGATACTCCATTAAAAATTCGTCATTTTATCAATTTTCACGTGCATTATAATTCTCTTTCTACTTCTTCTTCCTCTCTTATTGCCCCACCTCTTTCAATGTAGAAAATTCTTATGTGGAATAATTTAAATGTATAAACAATAACAGGGCCAAAACACAACACAACAACGTCCTTAACCGAGAAGACTGGAATGTCTAACCATTTCCAAATGTCACGGCAAAGGCAGCACATTCTCCTCAGATATTTTAAGACTCTGAGTGTTAGTTCAAGTTCAGGGCTTGAAACCTCAACCTCCTGCATGGCAGTACAGCGTTCTAAGACGATAAGCTGACCAATCGCGGTCTGATCTGTATACTTACTTCGTATTCACTCTTTGGCCATAAAAACTCTCTCTGACCAAACGCATAACACGAGGTTCTTCTGGTCCTCCACCTATAACGATCAAATAAACTGGTACAAAATCTTATCGATAGTTAAAGCATCCTTTCTGTCGAATTTCTTAAGTTTGAAGTACAGGGTCCACAGTGACAGCTTCTCCACTGACATCGTTGAAAAAATTGCTTTTTTGAGAAAGCTAAGTTCTGTTCCACCACTTAAGTAGTATGATGATTATTTCCCCGATAATTCGGGCGACAATGAAGAATGCAGAATATGCAAAATCATTTGCTATGGGTTCATTTGGAGGAGGAAATATTTGGCTCGGTAAAAAATAATTTGATACAAGTCAGATAACCTTCATTTAGTGTCCCTAGCTCTTTTGCCAATCGTCCTTCCTCCTTCTCGTCAATTAGCTCTTCTTCCTCATCTTCCAGTTGGAATTCTTCTTTTTCTCTTTCTTCTTCTTCTTCACTATCAGCTACAGCAGAAGACACAAAATTAGATTTCTACGCAAGTTACATTATTAGTAAAAAGTTTGAGTGTAAGGAATGAAACCGCGCGCACCGTACTATTTCGTTGTTACAATTAGATTGTTATCTCTTGGAGGACAGTCAACCACATGTAAGTAAAGTCTGTACTAGAGCCTAGTACCCTAGCCAGCTTTCAAAACAATTACTTGAAATACTACGTTTATACGACTGGTGGTTTGACAGAAAGCTGAAACGTTATGTTACAACCCACAACATTATTAAAAGAAAGAGACTGTATCTCCATTCGATTAACGGCACTCTACAGACCTTTACAGGCCCGTAAAGAGCCACCTGGGAAACTCAGTTTGACAATCACTTGCATACATCAAAACCACTAAAGAGAAAAATTTCTTAATTCCCTTACGAAGGTTCAGAACAAAGTCTTCCTCCCTAAACTCTTCACTGACATCGTCACCGTCAGTTCCGTCGGAGTTTGAATGATAATCTTCACCTTCATCGGCCATCCTGCATAAAAAAATCAAATATGTAGTTTATTCTGCTGAATTAGAAGCTGCTCCGAACATTTGTGGAACTTAGCCTATGTTAGTACAGTACGTATCATTGCCTTTCTTTCTCTTAAAGGCAAACTTCAAAACCTGGGAGCGAGGGAGAGTACTTGGGTAGATTTTTTTTGAAGGCATGTGCCGTTGGCCTTTCAGAACGCATGCCCTATTTACCAACAACCTAGTCACTTTTGGTTATAAGGTTAACAACTTTTTAACCGCTAATCTTCCCATTTTAAAATCCCTAAATTTTGCCATCGCGGTTTCGGTGGTTCGCGGACGACCCAAATTGTGGTAATTTCACGTTTTTGTTTTGCATGGAACGGCTAAGAAATGTACAAAGTTTTAAAACGCACGTGCTGAGCTACTGTTCTGCCAATTAGATCTTTTGTTTTTCCATGTCCTCGTTACCGTCGCCGTCGTGGTTTGCTTAAGGTCCCTATTAATGTCGCCAGCTTATGTAAGACTTGAAACGAGACTTGAGCGTGAAATGTTTCAAGTATAGGTCAGTCGTAGGTTTCATCCACGAGCACCAAATACCAACAAAATCGGAGAGAGGGAAAAAAAACATGATAATTTACTCTAAATATACAAAGCTTCTCTAAGAAAGAGCTTCGTCGAAGTCAGGAGGCGTAACAGCCCTTTCAAGCCTCGTGCCTTTTTTTTTTACTCTTTCACCGCCCTACAAAATGTAGAATTTTGTTAGGAATCTTTAAATACTACACCAGAAAGTGAGGTCATGAGAACGACGTTAACTGAAATAGTATTTTATTAAACTGAAAGAGTTGATTTCTGAGGTTCCAGTCGACTTCCTGTTTGTGAATGATGGTCACGCTCCTCAACCGTGGTCACATAAGGCCGCTCACATTTCCGAAAGCAAAATAGAGGGGAACAATGATACAGTCGAAACTTTATAAGGTGGCTTCGTATTAAGCGGTCACCCTAAAAAAAGTGTTTGGTTGTCAAAGTACCGAAATGTTTTAAATTTTCACTATTTTTCACCTCTATTAAGCGGTCGTGGTCTCTAACAGCCTGTTTTTTATGCTAATAAGATTCATGAAAAAGTTATTCAGCTCTGATTGGTAAAGACAAATGCAGTTTTCAGGTAATTCAATGCAAGAGAGGGTTAATTCAGTGCAAAGAAGTAACAAAGCAGACTGAACAATGCCTTAAACTGTATAGCCGGACTATGAACTTTTTTGCGCCTCGAAGATGTGAAAATGTCATCGTATATTATTCCTTTGATCGCACGCAGTTGTTTTGACCGAACGCACAATGTCACCCTCAGGGTTTAAATGAAATATTTTTGCAGTTAATGCGCGCGCTTTGCATCTGCATAATTGTGATCAGCTATCTCGTATTTTTATGTATATCATTAATATGTAATCACATGGTTTTTCTCGTGCAATTTGAAATAAATAAGCACTTGTAAATTTTCTCAGTCTTTGAAAAAATCTATCGTGCTTATTTATTCTAAATTGCACTCGAAATCATGTGATTAAATGAAATAAAGAACTGGTCATTATTTTTGTAGAGGAGGGGGGGAGGGAAAAATAGATTGGAAAGATGAACATTTCAAGAAGCTCCCTACGCTTACTATCGTTCCTCTAACAGAGAGAATATCAAAATTGTTCGTCTACGGTTAGTTACCTGAAAAATATTATTCCATGTAATTTTCTTATGAAAAGTAAACTGAAACTCTGTTGTATCTCCAATAGTCCCAAACCAAATATATATTGCAATCTCGAATGAGTGAAGACTCATTAACAAGAGGAAATGATAATATTTCAAAGAGGGTCCCTTGTCTATCTGGACTTTGCCCTCTGTGTGAAAAATTCACCATCAGAAGCATTTAGTAACATGTTAATTTTTTTTTCAGTAGAGTTGAGCAATGAGGTTAGAATACGTTATTAAATCCAGTCTTTTTGCATGGAATTAACACGAGATGGAGCAAAGTGTAATTTGGCAAAATGGAATTTGATTGGTGGAATACAATTCAAGCACGTGAAAGGCTGCCTAATATTCATTAAAATGCAATTATTGGGTATGTTCTGATTAGACTTAGGACGTTGTTTTCATAGCAAGTGCAAATATAAGTTGTTTGGCGCGTAAGGAGCGGAAAAAAAAACACGTTTTAACTTTAAAATAATACAAATGGTGCGAACCTTTCATGTCAAGATAAATCTCGAACTTAATCAACAAGGCTCTCGCGACGGCCACATACCTTTGCAATTAAAAAATTTGCATAAAATTTCAAACTCGAGCCGTGACGAACAAGGACGAGCAGCATCAGCAAGGAGCAGTTCACAACATCCTCCCTTTGAACTGGTTCCTCTTTCCATTTCTACAATGCGCACAGGATATAACACGCGGCCGGTAATTGATATTCAAAAGCAAAAGAAAACGGATTGCAGATTATCTCGTAACACTCAGTTTTCTCGTTTCTCACTAAACATTCTTGTAAGAAATAGAGAAAGCAGGAACACAGCAGTTTAATTTAGATCGATAGCCCTTTCATAACTTGTAGAAAATGATGTTATAAAGATTTCGTATTTTGATTGATCGCCTTAAGTTTTTTTTCTGACTGAAAATACCTACCAAGTTTTACATTATTTAATAAACAAGGAGCGGTTCACAACATCTCCTACTCGAAACATGTGTTTGTGACCATTGGTTCCTCTTTCCATTTCTACAGTGCGCACAGAATATAACACGTGGCCGTTAATTGATATTCAAAAGCAAAAGGAAACGGGTTGCAGATTATCTCGTAACACTTAGTTTTCTCGTTTCTCACTAAACATTCTTTCAAGAAATAGAGAAAGCAGGAACGAAGCACTTTAATTTAGATCGATAGCCCTTTCATACTTGTATTTGTCTGCGATCATGTAGCCTGTGTATTTTTGCTGGCCCACTTTGCCTTAAGACTGTATGAAGCTAAGACCTCATGCATCATAGTGGATTGTCTTTTTTTCCACAATGTAATAGTTTTTCTTATTTCATACAAACTTGCAATGTTACTGATGGAACACGAGTGGGTGAGACAAAAAATCCACTTAATTTTATGAATTATTTCAGAGCTTACCTTAAAATGACGTTTCATCAAAGATGAAGTGTTGAATTCGTCCTTAAGAACCTGTTAAACTTGCAAAATTTGGCAAGACCGAAGATACTTTGATGAGTTCTTCAGAAGGCGAGCCAACATGAAAAGTGTCCGTCAGAATAAAACGGTCAAATGCATATAGCTAATTCTGGAAAATTATGCAGGTCAATTTCCGGTTTTTAGATTAAATCCAGTCTTTTTACATGAAAATAACACGAGATGGAGCAAAGTGTAATTTGGCAAAATGGAATTTGATTGGTGGAATACAATTCAAGCACGTGAAAGACTGCCTCATATCCATTGAAATGCAATGATTGGGTATGTTCTGATTGGACTTAGGACGTTGTTTTCATAGCAAGTGTTTCGTCGAGAAATTCTATAATCGATCATTAAGTTAATTTATCAGCTAATAAGATACGTTATAGTGATGTCGTAATACTAATGCAAGTCATTTGTCAGCTGTGGACCTAACCGACTCACTGGGTAAATAACATACTTAACTATATATACATGCGAAAGACTAATCTTTCATTTATTTATTATCAGTGACGATTTTTAGAGAAAACGTTGAGATTTTTAGACCTTTTGAGTATTATAGGAGTTGGCGGCTAGAGATCAGTTTTGGAAAAACTTATCTTAGAACTAAGCCAACTTTGTATACTACTTTCTTTACGACGATAGTTTTTTTTGACATCATGTCATGAAGCTTGCTGATAGCATTTTTGTGGTAGAGTCACGCGACTAAAAGTCACCTCTCGCTTTGACCGTGGTGGTGGAACTGAGCTGGAGCTGTGTTACATAAGCGAGAGGGCACTCTTTCTGGTGGTCTCAGGACTTAGAAGAATCAAATTTCTTTGTTTTATAGTTTTCAATTGCTGGATTTCATTTTTCTGAA